TTCCCATATTTCTCATGATCTGGCGGTGATTTCTTGTCATCTGATGGATGTTGTGTTTCTTTCAAATTCTTGAAGTTCAGCCTTAATGTTCAGGAGCAAGCAGGAAGAGGTGATGTAGAATCTCTTTGCCGTTCTATTGTGATCACTGGTGAAGCAGATTCAGTAGATAGTGGGGAATATTTTAACCCTATTAGTATTTGGATGTTCACCTACAGTGCTCTTAGATCTGTCTAATGGGGATTTGCTTCAAGTCTGAAGTGATAGGTATGATGATTTTCTATCATCTAATCCTAAATGTACTGGAAAACTTTCTGCATGGCGGAGCCGATGGCGATCGAACATCTGGTGCGGTGGACAGACGACGCTCCGACCCAGGCTACGACTGATTGCCTTGTAGCCAGTCTTCCTCTCTCTCTGGTCAAATTTTAAAAATATATAAATAAGCTTTGTGCAGCGGCAGTATCGTAGCCAATGAGGTTTATCCGAGGTGCAATTATTGCTAATTGAAAAATATATAAATAAATAAAATAATTCTTTAAAAAAAAATCCTGAGACAAGAATGGAGAAGGGGTAGTGGCATGGCCATTACCCCAGGGGGGGTAACTTCTCATTTTGTCTTTCTGTCTCTGTCTCTCCAGTGAGTATGTGCCTGATAGAAAAAATCTCTCTAAAACATCAATAAATAAACAAGCGAGCTTATACCTTGTGGTCATGAGAAAATTTATACTAGATGGAAACTGTGAATGTGAAGAATATGGCAACACATTTAAGCAATGTTTGACTTCAGGATACCTTAATGAATTCAAACTTGAGAAAAATATTACAAATACAGGAAAGGTAATAAATTGTTTAACCAGTTTTCTCAATTGACGACACATAAGAAAATTCTTACTAGGGGGAACTATGTCTCTAGTCCTTCTAGAAGATTAACTGACCTTGGGACCGACTGGTGGCGTGGTGGTTGAGGGTGCTGGCTCCCACATGGCCAATTGCAGATTGAGTCCTAGACCTGGCAACTTGCTTTCTCACTTTCTCTCTCTCTCTCTCCACCCCCCTCTCCCCCATCCTGACTGGTCAAATAAAAATAAAGTTAAAATATTTTTTTAAAAAAAGATTAACTGACCTCAGATGTTAAATTCCACACAGAAAAAGTTAAAATCATTTAAAATTCATGAGATGATGTGTGTCATGGGTCGTAGCCTGGGTCGGAGCGTCGTCTGTCCACCGCACCAGATGTTCGATCGCCATCGGCTCCGCCATGCAGAAAGTTTTCCAGTACATTTAGGATTAGATGATAGAAAATCATCATACCTATCACTTCAGACTTGAAGCAAATCCCCATTAGACAGATCTAAGAGCACTGTAGGTGAACATCTGTGGCAAGATCTATCTTTAACTTATAAAAATTTTATTCAGTTACATGAGGTTTCTTGAGAAGGCATTATTTTTTTACCACCACTTAAAGTTTGAAATCAATTTATGTTTTGCCTCTATTAACACATTCATGTATCACCACAATTGTCTCAAGGAAGAGACTAGAAAAAGGAAAGGCCTATTTCCTCATTTGGGGTTTGTTCACATTATTGTAGCCTGGAAAAAACAATAGTGTTAATTTTAAGATACATCATGATATAAAATTGAGAGTATTAGGGGGTAACAGAGGTGAAACTGTTATATAAATTATACTTTATATGGCCAGGACCTTTTCCTGAAATTGTGGATACCACTGAGGACCTCTGTTGATTACAGAAAAGGTAAGATTACAAGATGATTATGAAACAGAGTAAGTCAGAACACTGAGAGAATGAAATTTTCATGGGAGGAAAATGATAGGTTACTAGGAACTGAATATGTAGTTTAAAAGGGGAGGGGAGGAGTGTCACCCTGTCCTTTGAAAGGTAATAGCTGTTGCATATCCCAGATTATTGAAAATTGGTTCTATTTTTGGAAACAAAAAGACATGCTAGACACTTCATAAATGCTTATAATAATATCAGTTGGCTGTCATTGTTGAATATCATCTATAGCAATTCCTTTCAATGTTAGCTTCAAACAGTATGCAATTGGAGAAATGTATGTTCATAACTAGCATTTGAGTCATTCTCCATCCCTATAGAGTATCCCAGATTATTTCTGTAGTGTGGAGAGCAGCAAATCTGAACAAACATGGTGATCTTTAGACCCATGCAGAAATGCACTTCCGTGAGCTTCATTGCATAGCTATGAAAACATTTGCATACAAAAAACACTGTGTGCCAGTTGTTGATACCATACCGCAAAGCAGTATCAGGCTAAAGGAAGCCGCATGTGTTTATCAGATTTCACCCCAAAAAGATCAGAGAAATTATATGGCACCAGTCAATTTTGCATCTTCAGATGATTTACATCCCAAAGCAACTGTCTTTGTATTCTATTTTCTCTTCTGCCATTTTCTTTTTTTAATTAATTTACTTACATTTAATCACATCTTTACAGTGTACAACATTTCTCTTTCCAGCACAAATACTATGCATGTCAGTCAAACCAAAGATATTACTCTATAACTTATCAGCAAATAGGTTCTCACT